AAAAAAAAAAAAGAATGACAGATCTTCCCAAAACCCAGCTTGAATTTCCTCCAAAGAGCTTCTTAATTAGAGCACCTTCTCCCCTGCATGCTAATCAGCAATTCATTTTTCTAAGTGTGATCCTGCAGCTACCCTCTCCCTAGTTTAACCTTGCTATCCTCAAGTCAAAGTTCATGGGAAGAGTGGGGCAGGTGTGTTTTCTTGGATTTAAGAATCTTTAGATAGTTCGGAAACAAAGGCAAATAAAAATGCATTGTGGGATCTTATGACCATTTACAGGCCTGTCCTCAACAAATCAAAAGATTTTTAAAGTGAAACTTTAAAAAGCAGGTCATGGCCAGGCATAGTGGCTCACATGTGTAACCCTAGCACTCTGGAAGGCTGGGGCAGGTGAACTGCTTGAGCTCAGGAGTTTGAGACCAGAATAAGCGAGATGAAGACTCTGGATACTAAAAATCTAACCAGGCATTGTGTGGAGCACCTATAATCCCAGCTACTTGGGAGACTGAAGCAAGAGGATCTCTTGAGCCTAAGAATTTCAGGTTGCTGTGAGCTATGATGACACCACAGCACTCTACCCAAAGCAATAGAGACTCTGTCTCAAAAAAATAATAGTAATAAAATAAATAAGTAAATAAATAAAGCAGATCACTCAAGTTAACAGTCTTCCCACCCCACACCTCCCCGCACCCCCCCATGACTAAGCCCTGACGTACAGAGATAAGGTCCAGCTGTATAGTTCCAGTTTTCTCAGGATCCAGCTGCTTAAATATCTCTGTGGAGGGAGGAAAAGATGGCAGAAGTGAATCAGCTGAACTAGTGATCACATTATCCGGTCCTTAGTTTGGCAGCTGCTCTCGCTGAATGCCCCAGATGCTTCTTCCTTTTCTCAAAATTACTCAAGAGGGATTTTCATTCTCAACAGCTGGACAGACCCGTTGCTGCGTCAGGTGATTTCACCTGGGGTGACAGGCAGGCTGCTTTAATATTGGGAGAACTGATGCAGCTCCTCCCCCAAATAGCCACTTACTGAATAGAGTTTCCAGGCGAACCAAACACCGAACAAAATTGTCAAAGTCGATGATGAGCTGGTCATCTGCAAACCGAGCAACGATGACCTGGTGAAGTTGACAGGGCAGCTTGAAACCTGAAGTTAAATGAACAAACAAAGCGATTGCTGAATATCAGGTCACACCATTCAGTTCACAGGTCGTGGAACTACGTGGTGTTTTAAATGATGGCTCTGATTGCTTTCGTCCTTTGTACACTTTTCCAGGGAACTAGTTTTATTTTGCAAAGCCAGTTCCTTCTTCTGTTTCTTCTGTTTCTTCTGTTTCCAAACTGTTCGCCTGCACCCTGCCCGTTCCCTTGCTAACACATAAGAGTTTTCTTGCCTGTCTCTATTTCCGTGGTTGGTTAATGGTTAGCCAAGCCTCCTTTGTCTGTTTAGCTCTGAATCAACTGAGGCCAGTTTCTTCCTGGATATATGTGGGGAAGCTGTTCGTGGTAAACTAATACTCATTCTCCCTCTTCCCACAGTAAGATGATTTTTAGGGGCCCATGGCTGCCTAGCATCAAGACTGCAGCTTCCCTTTACCCACCGGGGGCCTTGTTACAAGGTCTGGCCAAGCAGATGTGTGAGCGGAAGTGACAAGGAGCTCTCTGTCAGCCTGTTGGCAGCATGTGGGCTGGTGGGAGGCTGTACCAGGTCCCCTGGATGAGGGCAACCTTCTTAATGGCTGGTGAGGCAACATGAGAGGAGCCTGGGCCCTGACAGTAGGGAGCAGCATCCCAGCCTTGGACTGTTGGAGCCTGGATTGTGATTTGAGAGAAAGATGCACCTTATTTAAGCCACTACTAGTTGGGAGTCTCTGCTGCAGCATTATATCCCAGCTAACAGAATGAACCACCTCAGGTTGGAATATGTCTCCTACTCCACTGGTCTACCACAAGCTCGTGTCCTTTCCATTGATAGCTAATTCTGCTAGGGACCTACCATAAGGGTTGAGCTGAGACATTCTGCTTCTGCCTCACCAACCCTGCACCAGAAAGGAGGAGCATGCAGGGGAAGTCTGTTGAGGACTGGCTTTGCCAGCTGGCCCTGCTGGGCTGCTCCAGAGGAAACTTGGCTGCAACAACACACAGAAGCCAGGGCATCCCAGACTGCATTTCATCCTACAGTTAGTCTTTGGTGGGGGAATGAAAAGGAAGTGTCTGTGACGAACCAGCACTACTTTATAGCTTACCAAACTGTGTATTGTAATGTTCACATATTCTACAGATAGATAAAACACAAGAAAGAAAAGAAAGTTATAAAGGGTTACCTGCTGCTTCTAACGCTCTCCGCATTTCATAGGAATTCATGGTACCAGACCTGTCTACGTCGATTTCCCGGTAAATTTTCTAGAACATGCAAGATACTTATGAGAACCACAAACCAAAGCGAAACAGGTAGCAAGTTACCTTTGTGGGATATGTGGAGGTGGGATGAAGTTTTTCCAGCTCCATGCCTCTAGTTTGGCCTTGAAAGAATCCCACGTCTCTGCCTTAAATAGCTAATAATATTTTGCCACTCTCTGTGAACTGGTTTGTAAATATGCCCATCAAATCAGTTAGCGGGCTATCATAGACCCATGTTCTCATCTTACATTATTTTTACATGTGAACTGTCAAAAATCCAAGCCACACAACCTCTTTAGGAAACCCCTGATGGTGACTTTTGGGTGATCCCAGTAATCATAAGAAGGCAGGGAATAGACCACGTAACTGGAAAAGTCCTTGTTGCTTTTTTTTTGTTTGCATTTGCCCAGGTTTGTCTTTACTCATTCTGAGCTTCACTATGGGCAAAATTCCACTCTCTTTGGAAGTATTTCTCCATCTTTCAGAAGAGGTGCTGCACCTTTGAATGTTCCCTGACACAGACTCACTCTTGCCCCTCTCCCTGCGCCTTCTGATCTTACTTGGTACGTCTGAATCTTCGTCCAGAGAATGTAGAACTCCTTCAGCCCCAGCTTGCCGCTGCCATCCGACTGCCTTCAGTCAAGGAAAGCCTTTGAGTCTGGGTTCACTTGGGCATAGTGTCCCCTGGTTTGTATTATCCGCTGGACCATCTGATAGGCCAGCACAAGGAGGGTTTGCAGAAGGACCCTTTGCTGTTTTTCCCACTGGTCAAACCTCCACAGGTTGAGGGAGGGGGGAGACTGGAGGAAGGCCAAGATAAGAGACCACTGGCTCTCTGCTGCTGTGCTTGCTGTGGTGACTCCAGATCCTGCTACCAGTGAGCTATCAGATGACATGAAGGCGGCTTCACACAGCTTCTGATGGCTGAGACCCCACTGTCTTTTGGAGTATTTCTCAGGATTTTGCAAAGGGAGCTACCCTGAGTCTGCTGGCTAAGACTCCGCAGAAGCTGGGACTGTCCTTTACTATCATTTCTCATTAAGTATCAGAAACAAGAGGGGACGTGGATGACAAGTTTGCCTTGGGAACAGGTAGGCAGCACAGGAAGGAGCTAGAGCCGAGGGGTGGGAGAAGGCGCATGGAGGTGGGTCCTCACCAACAAGTGGAGGAGAAAATCTCAACCAGACAAAACAGATTAACATCAGAAGTATTATGGTCTGGTAATATTTTCCACAGGGAAGTAATGGAAACACAGTCATTCAGGAAGCAAATTCAAGCTGCTCTGGGCAGACAAAGGTGGGCGTATTGTCAGGAATTTCCTGTACCAGCCCCAGCAATGGGCCGGCAGGCCTGCACCGTGAGCTTGTTGGAGTAGATAGGGGACTTGGTATCTGGCTTTCCTGTCACGGAGGGTTCTCACGTTTCCCTAGTAAAGGAGGTCAGCGCTACCAACACACGGTCCTACCTCAGCAGGTTGGGCACAACTGGCCTTTCCCAGGGGAGAGAAGGTAATGTGTGTGGATCAGTGAGATGCTGAACCCCCCCAGGCACTGCTCCTCAGGCACATCAAAGGATACATCTAGCATATCAACCATGATCTTGCAGGTCTCAATGCTGAAGCCATCGGATTTGATATCTTGGCCTGCAAGACAAAGTAAGTGTGACAGGAAAATCTTCCTGAGTCATGCTGCCTAACAGAACTTGGAAATACTCTCTAATCAGCTGGGTGTGGTGGCTCATACTTATAATCCTGCTGTTCTGGGAGGCTGAGGTCAGGAGTTTGAGGTCAGCCTGAGCAAAAGCCAGATCCCACCTCTACTAAAAATAGAAAAACCAGCTGGACATTGTGGTTGGCACCTGTAGTCTGAGCTGCTCAGGAGGATGGGGCGGGAGTATCAGTTGAGCCCGAATTTGAGATTGCTGTGAGCCAGGATAACGTCACTGCACTCTACCCAAGGTGACAGAGTGAGACTGTCTCAAAAAAAAAAAAAAGAAAGAAAAAGAAAAAAAAATTATCTATCAGCATCTTCCAAATACAGTAGCCACTTAAATTATTTTAAACAGGCACATGTGGCCAGCGGCTGCCATTCTGGGACAATGCAGAAGACGTGGTACATTTGTCTGACTGCTCTGTGTACGTGTAAAAAGTGCTTTTTAAATAAAAGAATGATAAAGGCTGGGCTTTTAAGTGCTCACAGGGCATAAAGTCACCTGTGGTTGTCAGGCAGGGAAAATAACAATGGAGAGCAAGTGTGTTCACCCCAGGCCACGACCTGTGAGAGGAAGAGGTTTTCCTCAACTGTACATCTACAGCCATTTTTGGAGTGTCTGTGTCCCCAGCTGACTGAGAACCCTGGGGACCTGGGATCTCCCTATGGGCCACTCTGCTCTAGACTAGGCAAGGCCTGTCTAGCTGGTGGTTGGCAGGTGCTAAGAGACCCTTAGCACAAATGTGAATCTGGCTCCCCACAGAATTCGTGAGGAGCCCAGCCTTTTTGTTATGACCTTGTGAAAGGTTAGAACCTTCTTTATCTCAAAGCTGCCCAACCCTTTCTTAGGTACTGGAAGGATGCTATATCCCAGGGGCTGTGCGTGGAGCCCTTCCCCCAAAGGCTAGAGCCCCTAGGCAGCAGGGGGCAGGGTAATAAGCTTAGAGTCTTGTGGGCAGCAAATGTTGCTCCCCTAGAAGGAGCAGCCTGTCTCCAAGCCTGGCCTGATTCTTCCCTACCTCCCACCCCACCCTCCATCTGTGCAGAAACAATGAGGCTTTAGTCTCCTCTGGCTCAGGAAGGCTGCCTATCTGAAGAGCCCTGTGATCTCACTTGTGCCTGGTGGCCTGAAGAGTAAACACAATCTCCTTGTCTTCCCTGAGAATCAAGGGAGGGAGATGCAGACCTGGGCCAGCCCTGGGGAAGCCCTGCTGTGCCTGTCATCCCAGCCCTTTTGGCAGAGAGCTCGGGAATCACAGAGCCTCTAATACAGCCACAGGGCAGGGACCAGTTATCTGTGTTTCTGTGAAGTGCATGTTTCCTGCCTACACTGAGACAGAAAACTGGCTGGTCTTGGACTCTAATTTGGCTCTAAAAGGAAGATTTACTTTTATCTCATGGGGTCAGGCTAGCAGCCATCTTGTCTGTTGTCAAAGGGAATGACGTCCCTGGGAGTCCATGAGACTTCTGGAGATAGTCCAAGGGGCTGATGTGCAGGATCTGACCATATGTACATGCATTCGTTTCTGATGCAGACTTACAACTTCTGATAGTGCCTGAAGCTCTATCCACTGGATTCTGATTGAAAACAGCACGATTTTGTGATAATTGGAGGGGAAAAAACTGAGTGTGTGTTGTATTTTCCCCCTTCCTCCCTAGGAGTGATCAACAATAGGAGACTGAAGAATCAATCCTTCAAATTTTTTTTTTTTTTTTTTGCTTAAGAAGTAGTTACAGGAGCAGATGAGGCTGCTCACGCCTGTAATCCTAACCATTTTGGGAGGCTGAAGCTGGTGGATTGCTTGAGCACAGGAGTTCCAGACCAGCCTGAGCAAGAGCAAGATCCCATCTCTACTAAAAAGAATAGAAAAAAACTAGGCATTGTGGCAGCTAGTCCCAGCTACTTGGGGGGCTTGGGCAAAAGGATCGCTTGAGCCCAGAATTTGAGATTGCTGTGAGCTATGATACCACAACACCCTATAAAAAGTGAGACTCTCTCTCAAAAAAAAAAAAAAAAAGTAGTTATAAGATGAAAACTATGGTTCTCATGCATTCTCAAGGCTCTATCTAGCTCTATGTATTCTGTATGGAAGGAAGCCTTCCCCTCGACTGAGAGCAGCCATTACTGAAGTCTCTAAGTCACCCGCTTGGCCCCTTGGCTCAGATGAAGTGAAATTTCTCCCAGGAAAGAACTGTCCACACGAAGCATATTTAGATACACAGAAAATGAGACTTCGTACTACCTCCCTCTTAATTCAAGCATTAGATGGTCCCTTCATTTTCCATTCTGGCTGATCAATGAGATGTGGTCACTTTATCAATGATTCCCCACTAAATACAACCCAGAAATTAGGAACTCAGGAATGCCTCTGGCTCCCATGATCTGAGCTGACTTGGCTTTTTCTTGCTGGTTGCCATTTGTGACAGGGAGGCTTTGTGCCTGGCTTCTTACATTATTTTTCAGACATTCAACCACTCTTTTTTGGTTTTGTTTTGAGACAGAGTCTTGCTCTGTTCCCACTTTGAAGCATGATCATAGCTCACTACAGCTTCCAACTACCGGCCTCAAGGGATCCTCTTGCCTCCCAGGTAGCTGGAAGTATAGGTGCCCACCACAATGCCCAGCTAATTTTTCTATTTTTAGTGGAGACAGGGTCTCCCTCTTGCTCAGGCTGGTCTGGAACTCCTGAGTTCAAAGGATCCTCTTGCCCTGGCCTCCCAGAGACAGGATTACTTGCATGAGCCACCATGCCCGGCCTAGTAATAGCTCATTTTGCAGAGCGTTTATATAGCATGGTTTAGATCTTAGAGCTAGCAAGCAGTTGAACCCTGGATTTGATCTGTAATCTCTGGGACCCTAGCAACCTTTGTTCTTTCTTGTCACATCGCACAGAACCTCCGTTATCCATGTCTTTGGAGGCAGGGTGATGTGATGGTGGTAGTTTCTACACAGGAGTTGGGAGCTGTGGATTTCCATGTTCCCTCCTGCAGGAGGAGGGGTTAGGAATGAGGGGACACTTACGCCTTGCTAGGACTCTTCTCAGGATGGTCTGCAACTCAAAGGCAGAGATCTCCGCATCCTGTGGACATGCAACCAAAGCAGTGTTACTGGCTCCCCATGGGAGCTGGACCCTGAGCGGGACAGGAGCTGAGCAGGGATGTGTGAAGCATTAGGTGGCCCATGAATCTGCATTTTTTCTTTTGTTTTTTTTTTGAGACAGAGTTTCACTAAGTCATCCTGGGTAGAGTGCTATGGCATCACAGTTCACAGCAACCTCAAACTCTTGGGCTTAAGCGATTCTTTGGCCTCAGCCTCCCAAGTAGCTGGGACTACAGGCACCTGCCACAACGCTGGCTATTTTTTTTGTTACAGTTGTTAACTGGCCCGGGCTGCTTCAAACCTGCCACCTTCGGTATACATGGCTGGTGCTGTAACCACTGTGCTATGGGCACCGAGCCTGAATCTGCATTTCTAACCAGCCTCCAGGCCATGCCGGTGTTGCTGTCCCCAGACCACCCTTTGAGCAGCACCAACACAGCCTGCTGTCAGACACAGTGGTTTAATGTACAGTGTGCTCGAGGTAGTTTCCTCACCATTCGCTGTAGAGACTATAAATAACAAACACTCCACTCTACCCATGTCTGTGATTTTTCTGAACTTAGTTCTCTTATACTATTCCTCCTATCCCACATGCCTTCTTCAGTCTTTTAAACTCAGGTCTCAGGCTGCTTGAAAAACTGCTTAAAACTAGCTGTCTTGGCTCAGTGCCCATAGCTCAGTGAGTAGGGTGCAGCCACATGCAGGGAGGCTGGTGGGTTCGAACCCGGCCTAGGCCTGCTAAACAACAATGACAACTACAACAAAAAATAGCTGGGCATTGTGGCAGGTGCCTATAGTCCCAGCTACTTGGGAGGCTGATGCAAGAGAATCACTTAAGCCCAAGAGTTTGAGGTTTCTGTGAGCTGTGACACCAGAGCACTCTACAGAGGGCAACATAGTGAGACTCTGTCTCAAAACAAACAAACAAACAAAAAAACTCCTGCTGTCTCCAAGAACCAGCGCCACCCACTGTCAACTTACAACATAGTATTAGATTTCCCTGATGTTAAAATAAAAACATCCAGCTCAGGAACCTCTGTTCATTTCCATATTTATGTAACTGAGGGACAGGCCTCTGTTTAAAACGGAAACCAATCATAGTCATTGAGACCTTTTGGGGTGTATATTTGTGTTATTCAACCCACAGGGAAAGAGGACACTTGCTGCTCCTTCCCTGGGGAATGGAGGAGGGAGTGAGGGAGGTGAGGAGAGCAGCCGAGCAGATAGCATGGCTCACTGATGCGCCTCTCTGCGGCTAAGAGAAGACGGGCACGAGGAGCCCGGGGTGGATGCTGGGAGGACAAAACTTCCTACACATAGTGAAGAAATAAGACAAGAGGGCTAAATAACTCCATTAAGGGCCGAAACAGCCCAGGATTTTTTTTTTTTTTTTTTTGAGATCAGGGAAATCTAACACTATGTTGGAAGTTGGAAGTTGCCTGCATTATTGAGATTTAAAATCCTCCCAGCTTCCTATGTATCTGTGTGGAAATCAAAGGTAAGGAGCCTGGTTTTGTGCCTCAATTGGTATGGAACAGAGAAAATAGCCACAAGGTGAGCCCAGAAATCCTAAGGAAGGAGGAACACAGGGCCGGAGCTATCCCCCAGATGGAAGCCTCTGGCAGCGTGCAGAGGCCTGGGAGGAGGTGGCAGGAGGTGTGAGTAAAATCTGAGTGAGAGTCGCAATTCTTTGGTTTCCTTTCCCCTTTAAACTGAAGTCTCCTTGGGAACAACCACTGTGTTTTCCCTGCATCCGACAGGCGCACAGCATACTGCACTCTGGACACCTACCTCCCCTGCCAACTGGGCAAACAGCTTCCTGAAGCTGTCATCGATGTCATCCTCACTGACGTCCATCTGAAGGGGAAGTGCAGAAACGGGATGATGTCAGAGTGAAGAGTGGGGGCAAGGTCTGCCTGCCTCCCCTGGCAGCCCTTCCCCCTCCAAAGTTCCCTTTTGTACCCCTCTCTTGGGCCTGAAATCTAAGGCTATTGTGATTGAGAGTAAGGACAGTATGAAGAACTAATAAAAGGATTTCTTTTCAAGTTCAAATGCATGAGAGGGAAGATAAATTTATGTGGGAAGGAGTTATAGTCTAATTTCTTCCACAGGTATCTTCTCTAGCATCTAGATAAATGGCCTTTTATGATTTATGCTCAAGAGGACTCAGAAGGATAAAGGCTAGCTGGAATATTCTGGATGGATTTGCACAGTGGCCAGTGAGGGCTCAGGGAGCACTGTTGGACTCCGTGCAATGCTGTCTCCTCAGTTCCAGGCTGGGGGCTGCTCAAACTTAGGGAATTATGTTGCTCCTCTCCTCTCTGGGTTGTCCAGGTCAGAGTGGGTGGAATTCGGGGAGTTACAAGTACCTCTTCAAGGTTGGCCTCGATTTCATCATCAACAGCTCTGGAAAGAGAAGGAAATTATGCATTACTGGAAGGCAGGGAAGGGTAAAAGGAAGTAATGCAGAAATCTCTGCTAAAATTCGCGCGCAGGAATAAATCCAACAGAGGTGAGTGGGCGGGATTTCTGTGCAAGTTTCTGTGATAACACACCCTCTAAACAGCAAAAATACAGGCAAAAAGGATCTGAGGGAAGTGTCACGGCCAAACAACGTGGGCAGTTCGGAGATTTTTAGTTTTTCACCTTTATCAAATTGCACCGTCTTTGCATGCAGTGTGGTGCTGGTACTCCTAGACAGCTCACTCAGTTTCTGGCTTTAACAAACAGCTTTTAAATTCCATTTGAAACCCTCTTGGCTAGGTGCAGTGGCTCACACCTATAATTCTAGCATTCTGGGAGGCTGAGGCGGGTGTATTGTTTGAGCCCATGGGTTTGAGACCGTCCGAAGCAAGAGCAAGACCCTGTCTCTAAAAACAGCTGGGCGTTATGGTGGGGACCTGTAATCCCACCTACTCAGGAGGCTGAGGCAAGAGGATTGCTTGAGCTCAAGAGTTTGAGGTTGCCGTGAGTTACGACACCACAACCCTCTACCCAGGGTGATAGAATGACCTTTTGTCTCAAAAAAAAAGAAAACAACCCTCTTTGCCATCCTGAGACTTGCACACTGAGAAGAATCATGCAGGGTAGAACATTTTAGGTTGAAGAGGCAGGCAGTGTGGAGTCCTGTGTGTAATTTCAACTAAACTCCAGCAATGTTCAGTTTATTCTGTGCCCAGCCCCTATACAAGAGCCAGCCCCTTCTGCCTCATAGGAAGCAATCTGAAACAAGGTTACCAGGAGACCCATCTGGTAACATCTAGGTCCAACATTTGGCAGAAGAAAGGAAAAGGGGGCTTGACGCCCATAGCACGGTGGTTATGACAACAGCCACATACATCAAGGCTGGCGGGTTCAAACCTGGCCCAGGCCAACTGAAAAATGACAACTGCAACAACAAAAAAATAGCCGGGCATTGTGGCAGGTGCCTGTAGTCCCAGCTACTTGGGAGGCTGAGGCAAGAGAATCGCTTAAGCTCAAGAGTTTAAGGTTGCTGTGAGCTGTGAGAACAACACAGTGAGACTCCGTCTCAAAAAATAAAACATAGGGCGGTGCCTGTGGCTCAAAGGAGTGGGGTACAGCCCCCATATGCCAGAGGTGGCAGGTTTAAACCCAGCCCCAGCCAAAAACTACTAAAAAAAAAAGTAGGCTCGGCGCCTGTGGCTCAAGTGGCTAAGGCACCAGCCACATACACCTAAGGTGGCAAGTTTGAATCCAGCCCGGGCCCACCAAACAACAATGATGGCTGCAACCAAAAAAATAGCCGGGCATTGTGGTGGGCGCCTATGGTCCCAGCTACTTGGGAGGCAGAGGCAGGAGACTCGCTTGAGCCCAGGAGTTAGAGATTGCTGTGAGCTGTGATGCCATGGCACTCTACCCAGGGTGACAGGTTGAGGCTCTGTCTCAAAAAAAAAAAAAAGTAACAAATAAAGAAATAAAAAAAGAAAGGAAAAGGGGATCTTCTGGTGCTGATATTTGGGGTCTGAAACAGAAGGATTAATACCCTGAAGCTCAGACACCTTGGATAACGGGGATGTTCCGTCAGGTAGAGAGCTCACCAGGAGAGAGTTGAGACTTCCCTGGGACAGGGAAGGAGGATGCCAATTGACAAAAGACAGTCATTCAAATGCCCCTGGATCGTGATCCTATTTCCTTGTTAGTGAGGATGAAGCTGAACACACCAGGCTTCCTCCAAGCATCTTACAGCTGAGAGGAAAGGGCCCTTCTCCAGTGATAAGCTTTTGCAGAAGGAGGGAGCCTGTCAGTGACAGGGGAGCTGCTGCCATGCTCGAGTGGCACTTACACAGGGGCTCACAGCCGCCCAGCAGTGTTTCCCCTCTGTTGTGCACTGTCTGGAGCCAAGGCAATTCCATGCTTCTGCCTCCAACGCCTCTTCCCTGACATGAGCCAGCAGGGAAGGTGTCTGGCCCAGCCCAGTCCACCCAACACACTCTGGGAGACCTTTGGACCTAAGTCCGTGGCCCAAGGCCAGAGGGGTCATCTCACATCTGGGGGCTTCAGCACAGCCTTGGCTCCTGCTCTTTCTGGCCCATCCCCTGCTTCCTCTCCATTCAGGAGCCTCCCCATGGCCTTCCCGTGAATTTCCTTTTGCTTACATTGAGAGTGTTGACTCTGTCTTTGCCAATCAAGGGCTCAACCGAGCAGACACGGTTGAGGCAGCAGCTGAAGTAGCAGACACCACTGTGAACTGAGGCCACCTGGACAGTGGCAGGAAACTATGGTGTCAGCCAAAAAGGGTTCCCAAACAGACCCGGTGAGTATGACAGGGAGAGATTCTAGAGACAGGGACCATTGAGATGGCCACTTACACACTTGGTAGCTCTCCCAGGTGGGTGGCATGGGAAAGCAAGGATTACACCAGCACTGCCCACCTCTCTCTGAGTGATGGGACTGGGTTCACAGGTAGTTTAAAATGAAAGTCACAACTTGATAATTCAGAGACACAGCTGTGGAATTAGATTGTGCAATTCACTTTCCCACCAACCTTTCCAGTCAAAAATACCCTGAGTGGCTTTTTTCTTTGTTTACGTGAATGTAACATTGAACATTCTTCAATACAGAAGATCCCCACACTGACCCTTCCAGGCAGGCAGGTGTCACAGAAAAAGAAACTGAGGGGTCCAGACCCCTCCACGGGCCGAGGACAGACCTGCAGGCAGGGACGGGAGAGGTGGGGAGAGAAGGCACCACGCGACCTACTGGTAGTCAGCTTTCTTTTCAGAGAAGACTCGGATGCAGAAATCCCCGTCCTTGTTGGGCTCAAAAGTGGAAGGCACCAGGATATACTCTCCTGGAGGCAGCTTGAAGCGGTTGAGCACCTCCCGGAGGTTGATGAAGGTGTCGGACCGCTCCCTGGCCCGTGTGGTCAGGAAGAATTTTTTGCTGAGGTGGATGTTGGTCTGCCCGCTAAACTGGTGAAACAAGAGAGAAGGGGCAGGTGGAGCGGGGAGGCTTGAACAGAGGAGGTCGCTATCACCCACTGAGGTAAAAGGATTACAGCGGCAGCATCGGGTCATTCTAGATAGAAAGCAAACTTTCTACCCAAACCCTCTAGCGTCCACTGAGGAACTCAGAGGCACAAGCAGCCGGGAGTTCCACACGCCTCAACCCTGCCTGCAGAGACCCCCCCAGCCTTTCCCCCTGCTCCTCAGCCTCCTGGAAGTGACCCTCGGGGGGTGTGGAGGCCTCACGACAGCAATCCAGTTTAGTTCTGTGTGGCATGTGACAGGGCAGAGAAGAGGGCCCAGCTTCTATACCAAGTATGGTTGGACCAAGGCTGGGGCAGAAACTCACAAGCAGCACCCACAAAAGCCCAACGGGCCACTGCTCACACCTCCTTGCTGTAAAAGTATAGCTCTGTGGCGGGGCAGGGGGTGGGTCTACTTTAATGACTGTGACACATAACGTCACAGGCCGCCGCGCCTCCTATCTGATTCTGCTTTAACTCTGATTGTGAGCCCAAGGGCTCATGCACAAGCTAACTCATCTGGGGAGGTGGACAGTTGACGAGTTTTACTGAAAAAAGAAATAAAACTGAAGTGCAGGGAGGATGCACAGCTTATCCATGCTCATGCAGCCTGGGAGCTGGGTCCTGGCCTTCCCCTGCCTGTGCTTCCATGCTGCCTAACAGTGCAATCTGCAGGGGTCATCATTTTCTCGATTCAGGCTTGCATGAAAAGCCACATGGGACTCTGCGAAGAGCCTCCTGTAGTCCTGGGACCATGGGGGTGTCCACCAACCAAACCCTGTGCTGGCTCTGCCAGGTCACAAGGAGGCAGCCAGCCCCACAGGGACTTCCCAGATACCTTGCTCTGAGCTTAGATCTAGAACCTAAGCCATCTCAGCCGGACCTGGAAGGGGCAGGGACTTGCCACCAGCTCCTGCCCGAGCTCCATGTCATGCCCCGAGCACCAGCCATCTAAGCCTCTTACACGCGGGTAGACGAGAGCACCCCAGGAATAGGACCAAAGCATGGCAGACATACCTCCTCCGGAACCTGCAAAATAAAGGAGACACAATTCAGACCCCAGGAAAGCAGTGTGTGAAAATGCCTTCGCTGCCATCTTCTCTTCTGCGTCCCCTTTCTCTGCAGCATTAGCAATACCCACTAAGTCAACAGAGTAAGTGTTTTCCAAGGAACTCAAAGCAGCTTCACCATGAAAAAAAATCCTCTTATAACATGGCAGTTATATGGACGAGCCCTTATCACCACTTTCAATTTTTAAAGCACAGCCCCAAGGCCGAGACTTGTGCAAGGTCACTGGCAGGCTGCAGCACAGCCCATATTCTGCACCCATCCGCAGAGGGGCTGGGCCCAGCAAGGGGGAGCAGCAGACTCTGTAAGCCACATCCAATCTGTCTGTCCTTCAGCAAGGCACCTTCCCTCTCTGGCCTCACTTTTCTCATCTCAAAAATAGGATCACCAGGATCCTTCCCAACCCTGAAGCCCATGCCTAGATTCCCAAACCCATGAGGTGGTGGGTGGGTCCTGGGGGGAGGCTGTGTGTTTACATTTTCTTGGAAACTATTTGAAATCCTCCGAATCTATTTAAGAGACTGAGGATTTGGGCTTGTATTTTTACAACTGATGGTATCTGCCCACTGCATTTCTGAAAAGATCAGTGTCCCATGACTGCCAGTGATAAATGAGCCCAGAGAGCCCCCTCCCCTGATACCTTGTCTGGGTTCTCCCTGTGGTTTGCTGGGAAACTGTCTGTTTTTTTTGGGAGACAGAGTCTTACTATGTCGCCCTCAGTAGAGTGCCATGGCATCATGGCTCACAGCAATCTCAAACTCTTGGGCTTAAGCAATTCTCTTGCCTCAGCCTCCCAAGTAGCTGGGACTACAGGCACCTACTACAATGCCCAGCTATTTTTTGTTGCAGTTGTCATTGCTGTTTAGCTGGCCCAGGCCAGATTCGAACCCTCCAGCCTCACTGTATGTGGCTGGCACCACTGTGCTATGGGCGCCAAGCCTAAACTTAATTTTTTACTTATTCTATTACCCTGGGTAGAGTGCCATGTCATCATCATAGCTCACAGTAACCTCAAATTCTTGGGCTCAAGAGATCCTCTTGCCTCAGTGTCCTGAGTAGCTGGGAGCTACAAGTGAGCACCACCATCCCCGGCTAGTTTTTCTATTTTCAGTAGACGTGGGGTCTCAAACTCTTGAGCTCAAGTAATCCACCCTGCTTGGCCTCTGAGAGTGCTAGGATTACAGGTGTAAGCCACCATGCCTGGCCCAAGAAACTAGCTCTTGAGGCAAGTTGAAGCCCTGATTAGTAGTTTTGCCATTTTCTATGGGTAAACTATGGAGGGCATAGCTATTTTCAAGCTACCAGTACACTCTCACAGAACATGGGGCCAAGAGAGGAGATGGGCACTCAGCTTTGGGGGCCCTGAGCAGGCAGCTCCGGCACATCCCTGGGTTCTGCCCCTTAGACTAAATGCACCCCCAATCCAGCTACCCCATAGTCTGTCTCGTTGCTCTCTTTTCCCACTGCTAACCCAAGGCCATGAAAAGTTCTATGCTATAGAAAGGGGTGGGGAGGGCCCAGAGGCCCAGCATGCCTGCTGAGTTCAGGGTGCCCCAGGCCCAGATCTAGCCTGAAGGGGGAGAGAAGGCAGCCAGCTCAGCTGAGCAGGGCTTGGAATAACAGATAGACATGTGGGTGGTAAGACTGTAGGAAACTTGGTTTCAGCCAGCAGAGCCCTGAGGAGAGGATGATGACCAGTTGTTCCCCTGTCCCTGAGCTTTCCCCCATCCAGGCCAACATCTTTACCGGGCTCTGGCCAACAGGGACCATCAACTCAGTCCTGCCCTCTCAGTAGGCCCTAATGTGGTCTGATATAGTCTGTTCTTTGGAGTTGGTGGGCCAATCAGAATGCCAGGCCTAGGGGACATGAGAAGGATGTGGGGGCCGCCCTGTGTGAGCAGATGGCCCTGCCTCTGGGAAGGGGAGGTGGGCACTCCACTCTACTCTGCCCTCACCTCGTAGATGCCAAAGCCGATGGTGTGCATGTCCTGGCCCATCTTCCTCTGCCGCCGCCGGTGCTTCTGGATGAGCCCCACCAGGAAGGTGCAGCCACTCTCTCCGTCTTCCTGGTCCTCATCTTCCTCCTCCAGCTTGATCAGGTACTGAGGGTTCATCCAGAACGTGTCTGCAGCAGAGAGGGGCAGAGGGGCTCAGCTCTGAGCAGGCATGCCTGGGGGTGGGGAGATGGGGGAGAGCCCTGGGGCAGCCTGGGTCTCAGGGCTGGAGGCTGCAGGGAGAGGGAGGAAGGTGAGGAGAGATGGGAGGAGAGAGAAGGTCAGAGACAGCAGGAGAGGTGGGAGCAGAGAACCAGGGCAGGGTGGGGCCTACTGGTGGTAGGCTGTGGACAGGGGGGTGGCCTGCCTGTGTCTAAATCTTACGGAGCCCTAAGTTAGCAACTTCCCCTTGCAGTTCTCTCTCTAGCCTTCAGACCGGCTTGTCTTGGGGAAAGTTCTGTCACCCCAGGAGGCAGGGTGGTACCTTCCCCTCACTGGGCTCTAATGTACAGGTGTGGGATGGGCCCGACTGGCCTGTCTGATGGGATGCGGATGTCTTCTCCCTACACAGTGGCCAGCCCCTACAGGCCAGGACATCCTGTGCACAAATTCAGCTTCTGGTTCTGTGTCTTGTGTCCACTCAGGTCTGTCCCCTCACCTACCCCAAGGTATCTCTCCCCTTCTCACTCCCAAAACCCAATTATAGGAAGGATTCATATTTGAGGGTGATTATGCTAATTGCTTTCCCATACCTAATGGGTTAAAACTAACTGTGGGATTAAAGGCATCATCTTGGTAGGGGTTGGCAGATATAGCTCTTCAGGCTGCTGCCTGGTTTTGCAAATAAAGTTTTACTGAAATAGCCATGTGCCCTTGCTTAACTACGGCTGCCTTTGGCTAGAGCGGTAGAGCTGAGTAGATGCCATAGAGTCTGAAGGGCCCACAAGGACAAAAGTGTTTACTATCTGGCCCTTCAGAGAGTTTGCCAACCCCTGACCTAGGAGGGGTATTTCTTGTGGGGAGCAGAGGTCCTTGCAATTGTAGTGACATACTGGGGCACCTCTGGAACCACCACTTGGTGGCTGCATGCTTGAGGTAGAGTGGTAGAACTATATAGGTGCCAGGAAGCTAGTCCTAGTATGACCACTTGCTCTGTGTTCCCGGTATGCCACTTAGAGCATCAGCTTCCTCATCTCTAACAGAGTCAAACAGGGCCATGACCTGCCACCATGGTACTGAAAGTGTGACTCCACAGCCAGACGGCCAGGGCTCAAATCCCAGCAAGCCACTTAACCTCGCCATGCCTCAGGCTCCTCATTTTCAAGATGAATTGTGTTGGGAAGATTAAATGAAATAGTCTTCAGGGTGAGTATCCTTTGTCCGAAATTCTGGGGCCAACAGTATTTCAAATTTTTGAATATTTGCATAAATATAATGAGACCTCTTGTGGATGGACCTCAAGTACAAATGTGAAATTCATTTCTGTTTCATATACACCTTATACACACAGCCTGAAGGTACTATTTTATATATAATATTTTTAATAATTTTGTGTATGAGATAAAGTTTTGACTGTGACCTGTCATATGACATCAGGTATCAAAGTTTGCACTTACAGTGTCATACTGGGGCTCAAAAAGTTTTGGATTTCAGAGCATTTTAGATTTTGGACTTTCAGACTGGGGATGCTCAACCTGTACATTAGGCACTCAGGACAGTTCCTAGCACTTGACGTCTGCTCTATAATTGGCAGACGTCATCATGATTAGACAACTTCTGATGGATTGAGCCATCAAGGCAAAAGAATCAAAGGGACCAACAAACACTAGACCAGAGGAGAAGTCCTCCCCACATCTGAGCAGGATACAGTCTGCACTTGCGGAGTGACCTGGGTACACGAGAAGGTTGCAGAGACCCCAGTGGGTGCAGTGGTAAGGTTCCCTGGCAGGCTCAGCTGCTTGGGTTTGGTGTGGGGTGGATGCAGGAGCTCATGGGTAGAAAGTGGGATTGATCACAGCCTCCGTGGGCACGGCATAAAGTCATAGTGGCTGCCAAGGAAGCATGGAGTCATGGAAATAACAAGTCTTGGATGCTGCCTGGGTAAGGCAGCAAATGAATGCAGGAGATAACGGGGCTGAGAAAACAGAGGAGAGTGTTGAGACCAGGCTCCGGGAGAAGGAAGACAGAGCATCCCAGTGAGTGGCAGCTGCTTCCCCAGGGCTGCCAGACGGGGGTGCTGCACATCAGGGTGGGGGGTGGGGGGTGGATAGGTGCTTTGGCCTCTGGTGGCCCCATGTGGCAGCAGCTCTTACTTGGGTAGTTCCTGCAGCCTCCTGCTGTGGAGCCCCGCCTCCAGCTCCCATCCATCTTGGTGAGTTTCCATTTCTTGTAGGTGTCGCTGGTGAGGGTGTCTGGGGTGAGGTTGCAGATCTCCAGGCGGGAATAGTGCCTCAGAAAGTCACTAAAGGACATCCTGGCAAAAGCAGAGATGCACATGTTGCAGATTACAAGAGGACATACTGGTCAGCCTACACCAGACTGGGAGCCAGTCAAGGCCAGGCACAGCAGCTCCCTGGGGCCCAGTGGGTGGGCACCAGCTCCAGAATCAGAAGTCCCAAATTCCAGGCCCAGCACTGCCACTTTGTAGCTGGCTGGCTTTGAGCAAGTTACTTAAACCTCTCTGAAGCTCAGAACTCTTACCTTAAAAATGGGAGCCATGAATATCAAGTAAGGCAATACACAGGCCCTCCAGATAAAGTGTATGTTGTGTACAGATGCCGGTGGTCCTTAGAGTGGCACAGACATGGATGCTTCTCACTAAGGGATGGGATGATTCTCTGGAACTAGTGGTGAGAAAAGCCCTACCTTTCCTTTTGTTTTCTCTTGGGACCTCAACAATACTGAACGAACTCTTCTGATCCTTTTTTAAAAAGCTGCTCAGCTTATAAACCTCATGGTTGAGATGAACAAATTGAAGAGGTTTAAGAATTTTTAAAGTTCAAGGTCTTATAGTGAATTTAAAACAACAAAGCCAGATCCCATGCCTCTGTGCTCTTGATATGATAAACTCACTTCCAGCAGACATTCTTTTTTTTTTTTTTTTGCAGTTTTTGGCCTGGGCCAGGTTTGAACCCGCCACCTCTGGTCTATGGTATGGGGCCAGCGCCCACTCCTTTGAGCCACAGGTGCTGCCCTCAGCAGACACTTTTATTAGCAATTTTCTCTTTTTTTTTAGAGACAGAGTCTCACTTTATCACCCTCTGTAGAAGTGCTGTAACATCACAGCTCACAGCAACCTCCAACTCCTGGGCTTAGGTGATTCTCTTGCCTCAGCCTCCTGAGTAGCTGGGATGACAGGCACCTGCCACAACACCTTGCTATTTTTTATTGCAGTTTGGCCAGGGCTGAGTTCAAACCTGCCACCCTCAGTATATGGAGCTGGTGCCCTCCCCACTGAGCCACAGACACCACCTGCAATTTTCTAATAAAGAACATTGAGGCTTGGGTTGGTGCCCATAGCTCAGCAGTTAGAGCACTGGCCACATACACTGGGACTGGCAGCTTGAGAACCTGGCTGGACCTGCTAAACAACAATGACATCAACAACAAAATAGCCAGGTATTGTGGCAGGCACCTGTAGTCCCAGCTACTTGGGAGGCTAAGGCAAGAGAATCACTTAAGCCCAAGAGTTTGAAGTTGCTGTGAGCTGTGATGCCACAACACTCTACTGAGGGTGATACAGTTGAGACTCTGTCTCAAAAAAACAAAAACAAGGGGCGGCACCTGTGGCTCAAAGGAGTGGGCGCTGGCCCCATATACTCGAGGTGGTGAGTTCTAACCCAGCCCTGGCCAAAAGCCCACAAAAAAACAAAATCAAAAGCATTGAGGCAGGTCCATCTTTTGCTGAAGGCATTAGTAATCTCACCAGAATTCTCCATCTTCATGCCGTCTGGTCAGCCTTTCCTTCACATCTGGGTCTACAGTGTTCCAATTAGGGCAGCTGGAAAACAAGTAATGACACAGCATTAGAAATGAGTGTGTGGGCTCGGTGCCTGTGGCTCACGTGGCTAGGGCGCCAGCCACATACATCTAGGGTGGCAGGTTTGAATCCAGCCCAGCCGCCAAACAACAACGACAGCTGCAACCAAAAAAATGGCCGGGGGTTGTTGTGGGCGCCTGTGGTCCCAGCTACTTGGGAGGCTGAGGCAGAAGACTCGCTTGAGCCCAGGAGTTGGAGGTTGCTGTGAGCTGTGATGCCACAGCCCTCTACCCAGGGTGACAGCTTGAGGCTCTGTCTCCAAAAAAAAAAAAAAAAAAAGAAAGAAAAGAAAAGAAATGGGTGCATGACAATGACTTCTCAAATCTTCCCAATGTGGAGGAACAGGGACATCCGTCTTCACCTCTGAGTGCCAGACTCTAGAAAGCAGGAAAAGTAACTCACATCTGGCTAAAGGCTGCACTTAAATCCTCTCAGAGCACTTCACAGAGTACAGAACACTGTGTAGATGCAGCTATGGTGGCAGGGTGAGAGGGAGAGTCATCCTGCACCATGGTGCCGCAGAAAAGGCAGGAAAGTGAAAACAGCCCATCAGAGAGGGATGAAGTTGGCATCAGCTGTCCATATGGAGATGGGCCTGGCAGCTCATTTAGGGGCAACTGAGGATCTGATGAGGAACGGTTTGTCTAGGCCTCTGCAGCTGACCTGGGAGGAAGCCTTGGCAGGTGTCTCTCTGCCACGGCCAAGGCTGCTTGGGAAGAGGCCACGGGGAGGGCAGCAGAACTGTAGGCACTGGGCTTCAAAGGGGCAGGAGGGAACCCATGGGAGATGCTCACACAAGTGTCTGCCTAAATAGCTGAGTGTCCAAGTAGCCTACCAGCATGCCCTAAAAATCAACAGAGGGATGGCTCTCTGATCTTTGGCATGAATTCATACCCTGGGAGAGAAGAAGTGCCTGTGGAGAGGCAGGGTGCATTGTTTTCCCTGAAGGCCCAATAGAAGGATGAATTTGATCTGGGAGGGGATGAACCAGGAGGCAGTGAAAGAAGTGAACACGGGAGTGAGCCCCAGGCTTGTGAACTAGCCCCCAGACTGCTGGAAGTAGCGTCCTGGTTAAAAGACCTTTCTGGGACTTCTTTTTTTTTTTTTTTTTTTTTTGAGACAGAGCCTCAAGCTGTCCCCCTGGGTAGAGTGCCATGGCTTCACTGCTCACAGCAACCTCCAACTCCTGGGCTCAAGCGAGTCTCCTGCCTCAGCCTCCCAAGTAGCTGGCACCACAGGCGCCCGCCACAATGCGTGGCTATATTTTGGTTGCAGCCATTATTGTTGTTTGGCAGGCCCGGGCTGAATTCGAACCCGCCACCTTAGGTGTATGTGGCTAGTGCCTTAGCCACTTGAGCAACAGGCGCCGAGCCTGGGACTTCTTTATCAGTATAGCACACGGGGCTCCCAGCAGAATACAACCCCACCCAGCTTCCCCACCCCCGCACGCCCTCCTCACTTGTCATTCCACCTCCCTGTCCACTCCACTTCTCCCCAGGGATTTCGGATGCGGATCAGTTTCTGCAGGCTTCCATTACTTTCAACCTGTAGTGGGGAGAGGCTGAGTCAAGCCAGGCCCAGAAGTACTTGGGGCCCAATGCTGCCTTCAGCATGAGCCAAGAGGTGAGGATCTGACCCAAGATCTTCACTGCTGCCCAGCTTTGGAAAATGGGAATTAAAGTTCCTGTGATCCAGGATAAAGGTGCTCTTTAAGCTTTATCATGAGCCTGGGCCATGAACACAGCGTATCCTAGCATCTGTGTTGACGCTTTTGCTCCGAAACTCAGCTTCACTGACTTGAATAGGATGTACCTTTGTTAACACTTGTTGAAGTAACACTGGGTGGGTAACAGGTAAATGTAGTGTGTGCATCTTGGTGGAGTCTTGGTGGGGTGGGTGGAACATGGAAAATGACATTTTGGGCAACAGGGAAAATGTAAATATGAATTTTGTATTCTGTGATGCTATTGAAGTAATGTTTTTCTTGGGCATGGTAATAGTAGTGGGATTACAGTAAGAGAGTGTTCTCTGTAAGAGACAAATGGTGGGGTATATAGGAGTGAAGTGTCACCATGTCTGCAACTTACTTTCAACTGGCTCAAAAAAAAAAAAAAGACAACAAAACAAAAACCCACACACATACATAGATGAAGCAGATGTGGCAAAATGTGGGTTTTTTTTGTTTTGTTTTTGTCTTTTTGTTTGAGACAGAGTATCACTATGTTGCCCTTAGTAGAGTGCTGTGGCGTCACAGCTCACACTAACCTCAAATTCTTGGCTTAAGTGATTCTCTTGCCTTAGCTTCCCAAGTAGCTGGGACCATAGGTGCCCACCACAACGCCTGGCTATTTTTTGCTGTAGTTGTCATTGTTGTTTGGCAGGCCCAGGCCAGGTTCAAACCTGCCTGCCCAGGTGTATATGGCCAGCGCCCTAGCCGCTGACCTACAAGCGCCAAGCCAGATGTGGCAAATTGTTAACCATTGTTGAATCTAGGTGAGTAGTATTTGGATATCTGTTGTAATGTTTTTTCAACTTTTCTGTAGGCTTGAAAAATTTTAAAATAAAAAGATGCGTGTGGCCGTGTGTGGCTCAGGCCTCTAATCCTAGGGAGGCCGAGGTGGGTGGACTGCCTGAGGTTATGGGTTCAAGACCAGCCTGAGCAAGAGCGAGACCCTTGTCCCTAAAACTAGCAGGGTGTTGTGGCAGGCGCCTGTAGTCCCAGCTACTTGGGAGGCTGAGGCAAGAGAATTGCTTGAGCCCAAGAGTTTGAGGTTGCTGTGAGCTGTGATTTCACAGCACTCTACTGAGGGCAACATAGTGAAACTGTCTCAAAATAAATAAAAAAGAAAAAAAATAGAAGTGTGAAAAGAACACTAGACATGTCAGAGGACTGGGATCTAGTCTAAGTTTTATAACTAACAGCGACCTTGGGTTGCTTGGTAATATTTATATAACAACAGCAGCAAGGACAGCCGCCTGCTTACATGTATGAGGCAGTCTGAGCACCCACACATACCGATTTGACTGAACCACCACACCCTTACAACGGATTTTGTCATTTCCGTTTTAAAAGTGAGGAGAGTAGGGACAGAGAGTTCGAGTAACTTATCCAGGCCACACGGCTGGTCAGCGGCAGTCAGATTCGACTCCGAGCACGAATGCTTTTGTGCAATCAAATGTGAAAGCGCTTTATAGAGTACAAAACACTGAGAAGCAAAGCGTTGCTCTGTATTCTTAGCCAACCCCGGAGTAGGACGCACTGCGGCCGCCAGGGGGCAGCGCGGCGCCGGCCGCCGGGGCGCGGGTGGGGGTGGGGCAGCCCTTCCTTCCCGGTCCGCGGGAGGTCGGGCGCGCTCCGGGCCGGGTTGCGCCGTGCCGGGGAGAGCAGGGTCCCCCACAGCCGCGCCGGGCCATTACCTCCTCGGCTCCGGTGACCGAGTACGCGTGCCCCTTCACCAGCTTCTGGAACGTGATGGCTTCGGAGTCCGCGGCGCTGGTGATCTGAAACAGCGACAGTCAGCCCTGCGGCGCGCCGCTCCCTCCCGCCTCCCTCGCTGGGGTCCCCCGGCCCGACCGGGACCCGGGGCGGAGCCGGGCGGGCGCGGAGGCCCGGGCGGGACGGGCGGAGCTGGGTCTCCTACTGCCCAGAGGATTCCCGCTGCGGTTGTGCTGAGGCAGAACCGCCAAGAATAACCAGATAAAAGGTGCAACGCGACCCTGTGGGAGAGCATTGCCCACGAGGGCATTAACGAGCAATCGCAGTGCATTCTCCGATTTCCCTGCTGCGGAGGGCGAGGAAAGGGCATCCGTGGAGACGGGGCCACTGGGGGGTCTCGATGGCACAGCAGGGACCAACACTGGACATTTGAGGACCCTCTCCACCCCCTCATGCTTGGAGGCCTGGCCCAGTCCAGCTGCAGAATTTATACCAGGCTGTTTTTTTGTTCCTGCCTGAGTTCAGGATTTGCTCTCGTCCCCCATCTGTTCTGAGGGAGTTTGTAAACGGGAGGAAGGGCTGAGAGCTCAAAGTCTCCTGCCTCAGAATTCCTGCCTACAGAGCCTGATAGATTTTGCCCCCTTGAGCCAGAGCTTCCTATCTCTGTCCCCAGCAGAGACCCGCATCTGGGATGGCACAAGGCTGTGGAGCGGGACACAATCTTTGCCTGTACTTTGTTCCCACCTCCCTTCTCCTGCTGAGGCTTGCCAGCAAGGCTATTGTGACAAATAGATTTGTTCTGGTGCCTCCTGAAATCTCCTGCAGGCTCCCTGGAGCAGTTTGCAGGGGTGGCTGCACAGCTCTGCAGGGGGAAGGTGGAGGGGAAGGTGTCAGAACCCCTGGAGGGCAGGGGTTCTCAGGGGACCCAAGGTCTGCAGGATGGGGGATGGTGGTTCAGAGCAGGCAGAGAGTGGGAAATGGGCTGGGGAGGTGAGCCTGAAGGTACCACCACCCCATCCACTGCACCCAGACAGGTTGACACCCCCTGGCCTCCAGGTGATAGCAGTTTGTTGGCTGTTGGGGCCCAGAAACCGGCACCCCAAACTATGGTGCTGTGACCTGCTGAGTTGAGGAAGAAACCCCTCTGGGCCCCACTTCCCTTTCCCCATATTCCCCTCCTGCATCATTCCCAAGCTCAAGAGGAAGCTGTTCTCTGATCCCCTTATCTGCCTGAAGCCCCAACCCACCAAAGAAAAAAACAACTACCTGGGGCCCTCCTTGACTTTTCCTTAACTGAACTCATATCCCAGGAGGACAGACTGAAGTCTGCCAACCCACTTGGAGAGACTCTTTGTCACAAACCATTCATTATCTGGCTCTGCAGGCCTAAAGGACTTTGTCTCAGGCCATTGTATGCTCTTCAAACCCATTGAATTCTAAAAATCATTTACTGCCTCCCTAAAATCATCTACTTCCCATCTCCCTTTCCTCTAAAAAGAAAGTCTATAGCCGGGCACAGTGGCTCACGCCTTAATCCCAGCACTTGGGAGGCAGAGGTGGGTAGATGGCCTGAGCTCACAGTTCAAGACCAGTCTGAGCCAGAGCAAGACCTCATCTCTAAAAATAGCCAGGCCTTGTGGGTGGCACCTATAGTCCCAGCTCCTAGGGAGGCTAAGGCAAGAGAATCGCTTAAGCCCAAGAGTTTGAGGTTGCTGTGAGCTATGACACTTTGGCACTCTACCAAGGGTGTGACAAAGTGAGACTGTGGCACTCCACCAAGGGTGTGACAAAGTGAGACTGTCTCCAAAAAAAAAAAAAGTCTGTGAGACGTCTCAAAAAAAAAAAAAGTCTGGCTCCATGCCTGTAGCTCAGCCACTAGGGTGTTGGCCACATACACCAGGGCAGGAGGATTCAAACCTAGCCTGGGCCTGCTTGACAACAATGACAACCACAACAACAACAACAACAACAACAAATTACTTGGGGCATTGTGGAGGGCACCTGGAGTCCCAGCTACTTGGGAAGCTGAGGCAAGAGAATCGCTTAAGCCCAAGAGTTTGAGGTTAAAATGAAATTCTGTCTCTTAAAAAAAAAAAAAAACAAACCAGTCTATAACTATCATACAGCCCAGTGTGGGAGAATGATCACTCTGATCCCACCCCCACCACACCCTGGCACATGCTCATAAATTTGTATGCCTTTTCCCCTATCCACTTGGAAGGAAAATTTTCCACTGCCCCCCCCCCCATGAACAAGGGGTGCATTATGTTGTAAATGGGCTGGTGGGTTTCCTTGGGCACCTTGGGGGCCCCCTTCAGCAGCCTGGGAGTGGGGTGGGGAGTGTGGGCCTTACATCGATGGAGCAGCCGAGGAGAGAGCCTTTTTGCAGAGCCTTCTGGATGATCTTGAACAGGTCGGCAGGGGCTTTCTTCAACTCATACCACTCAGCGATGCCTCCAGTGAAGTCTTCGAAGCCCTCAGTGGTAGCGCCCCCTGAGAGCGCTTCATAACAGCCATTGATCCTACACGGGAAGGTGATGCTGCCACCACTGACACCACTCCTGCTGTTACCTTTCCAAGGACCACCTCCCACCTCCTGATGCCCCCTTCATTTGGTGCTCTAGAAACCCTCTGCTAGCATTTTCCTTGCCTTTATCCCCAACTCAGGGTACCCACAAAGGCAAGGAATCATGTCCACAGTTACCATTTCCCTGGTAGTTTGTGATGTTAAAAAAAAAAAAAAATCTCATAGAACCTTATAGTTGGAATGACCTTAGTGATTTATCTGGACCAATCTCCCGTATTGATTCTCTCTACATCCTGACAGGAAAAGGGAGGTCTACTAATTGACTGTTTGGCATTTATAGCTTAAAGAAAAAAAAACAATAACAAAAGCAGTTTTTTTTTTTTTTGAGACAGAGCCTCAAGCTATACCCCTGGGTAGAGTGCCGTGGCATCACAGCTCACAGCAACCTCCAACTCCTGGGCGCAAGCAACTCTCCTGCCTCCGCCTCCCAAGTAGCTGGGACCAGAGGCACCTGCCACAGCACCTGGCTATTTTTTGTTGTTGTTGTTGCAGCTGTCATTGTTGTTTGGCGGATCCGGGCTGGATTCGAACTTGCCACCTTAGGTGTATGTGGCTGGCGCCTTAGCCACTTGAGCCACAGGTGCTGAGCCAACAAAAGCAGTTTTTAGTGCATTCCTGTAGTCCCATGTACTCAGGAGGCTGAGGCAAGAGGATCATTTGAGCCCACCAGTTTGAAGGTGCAGTGAGCTGTGATGATGCCATGGCACTTCAACCTCAGTGACAGAGTGAGACCTTGTCTCAGAAAAAGAAAAAAGCGTTTTCCCTGAGAAACCAGCACTGTGTTGGCAAGGGCGTGTAGCTCCTGGTTACTGATGCTGGGGTCCTTAGAAGCATCACTCAGAGCCTTGGTTCTTACGGTGGGGTATATGCACATGACCCCTCCTTCCTGGCATGGGACTGTAAGGAACAGAAATCCACTTGCTGCCTTGGCATGGAGCCACTTCCATGGAGGGAACCAGGCAGCATGGCCAACACAAGGCCATTGTGGAGCAGGGCTGGGGCTTCCTGCTGAGCGGGGCAGCCCTGGGCACTGGAGAAACTCACTTCTGCACAACCCAGGTGGGAAGCAGCTGGGAGATGGGGAAACCATTGCTAATTAGCAATACCGTATATTCAGGGCAAGTTCTCACAATTTTCCTACTTCTGCAATATGTAGTTTTGTTGCTGGCAAAAACTCTGCTTGGAAAAATGTGTAGTTTTGTCACTGGAAAAACTCTGCTGATAAAAATGTAAACTGTGTCTGGCAGAGGAAGCAGAGCTCCTTCTCAAGCCCGCACAGGCGGCACCGGGACTTGTTCCTGTGTATTTGCTTAAAAATAGCATCAGCTGCCGTTATCAGTGTGGAATTCTCTCCTTGAACTCAGAGCCCAATTTTAGCCAAAATAGTCCTGTAGAATAGCACTTCTACTCAAGGAGTCCTTGAATGGTTCCTGTTTTTCCTGAATCCAGGGCAGTGGGGGCAGCCATGGCGAGTGGGGTGGGTTGGGGACAGCCACTTACTTGGCGTAGGCCTTCTCCAGCAGAGCACTCCAGAACTCACTTCCCTCAGCCGAATGCACAAAGAGCAGCTCCCCATCCTTGGTGGGCAGCCTGTCATCCACTACCACCTCTACCCACTCACCATACTGCCAGAACTGTGGGACGAGAGAGAGGGGTGGTGTGGGGCAGGCTGGAGGGGGAGCTGGCTGCAGCACTGGGGCTCTGAGTCCCAGCCCCCATACTGGCCCCCTGGCCCAGGCTCCATGAGCCCATCCTCCGAGATGACGCCTCCTTTAACTCTCCTGCCACAGGCAGGTCCTCACTAGGAAAGCAAAGATGGTGGGGGCACTTGTCCATCCCTCCAAATCCACACACACCTCTTTAGCATTCTGCCCTGCACCGTAGTCTTTTAAAAATATCATTTCTTACTTTCCAGCATAAAAGGAGGCGAACCTTAACATTTTGTCTCAAACCTCAAATAATAAATTTTTAAACTTGCAAATTACTTCCGAACACCCTACTCTATCTCCCTCTTGCATGCCACGCTGGCAGGGTCCCAGGGAGCTTCTTGCTCTCTCTCACTGTCCCCTGGGGAACAACACTGGTCCTGGGAGTCTCCCAACACCAGGAACCAATGAACCCAGCCCAGCCATGGGGCTATTCCTAGCTCCCAGGGCCTGCTGAGGAGAAGCCTGAATCCGCCACTGAGTTACCTGGAAGTGGAAGATCCCTGCATAGTTCTCCTGGAAGCTCTGGTTGCCGGGGACCACTCGAGCCAGTACTTCTTCATTCAAGGTGAGAGAGGCAATGGCTGCCAGCAGCCAGCAGTCCCCTGTGAACACCACATAAGAAGCTCTCATTAGGGAGGTCTCAGAACCAGAAGGCTGTTAAAGATCTCGAAGAGAGGCGGGGACCTCTGAGTCGTGAAACCTAAGATGACCCCTCCATAGACAGAATGATATTTTAGGCAGACATGATCTGAGGGTTAGGGCAGTGGATTGGGTGCTATATTGAGGGAAATGTGGAGGGAAAAATGTTTTTGTTCAGGGTGGTGCCTGTGGCTCAGTGGGTAGGGCACCAGCCCCATATACTGAGGGTGACGGGTTCGAACCCGGCCTCGACAAGCTAAAACAGCAGTGGCAACTGCAACAAAAATAGCCGGGCGTTGTGGTGGGCACCTGTAGTCCTAGCAACTCGGGAGGCTGAGGCAAGAAAATCATCCTAGCCTAAGAGCTGGAGGTTGCTGTGAGCTATGACCCCATGGCACTCTACCAAGGGCGACAAACTGAGACTGTGTCTCAAAAAAAAAAAAATGTTTTGTTCAGCTGTGGTTGAATCAAGATGGAAAAATTCATTCCTGAGCAGATCAGGACTCTGCAGTGACTGACCTAGATCTGAGAGCCCAGCCCTGTGCGGGGTTCACGGGAGATGCTTGGTGGGGAGCATCTGTGGGGTGGAAGAATCCAGCTGGCAGCACAGGCTTCTGAGGACACAGACTTTCAAGGGGAGTGTGAGAGAGAAGAAAATGTAATGATAGGTGGGAAGGGTTCAGAGGCAGGGGCAGAGGCAGCAGGAGGCGGGTCAATCGGGGGGACACAGGCGAAGCAGATGGAACAGCTCTGAGTCAGAGCAGAAGGCAGAGTGTCCCCAAGGGTCCTGTGAGGAGGGGTAGAGGTCACTTCTGGGGGTGGACAAAGATAGGGACAACAAGAAGTTGTCCTGGGTCTCAGGACCCTCTCCTGTGACATGGATAAATGTGAGACCTAATGAGAGCAGTGTGGAAAGCACTCAGCAGCCATCCGGCACCTATGTTAGGTGTGTAGCGCAGTGAGTACCACGGTCATTTCACATAGTTAGAAGCCAGCTGATGCTGGGACAGGGATCCCTTGCCCGCAGGGATCATGTCTACTCCAAAAGGAAAATGAAGGGGAGGGGTCTGGGAAGAGGATGAGGAAATTACTCCATTCTGAAGGAATGTACATTTTCCTATGACAATAATAGGAAATAGCCTCAGATGAGTCTGTTGGACTTATTTTTTGCTAATTGACAGGTTTATCAAAAGTGTTATTGAAGTTCACTAAATTCTTCAAGTTCTGGCTGATTGCTCAGAATCCTGCTAGTTCTTGAACTAGACCATCCTCTTAACACTTAGACATGATTTCATGTAAGCTCTTTGAGGCCGTATATGCTAGTGACAAGTCTGTGGTAGGTAGATACACATCCGTCCCTCCTGGGTTGGTCAGTTGGTAACCAACAGGAGTTACAGAAACCCTTTTGCTCCTTAAACTGGATGAGTGCCCTGGTTCTGTGGATACACCTGTAACCCTCCACTTAGCAGCCATGTGCTCTCTCCTGGTAACACTGATGTCCCTCGGGGAGACAGCATTCCCTCCCTGCATTCTCCATCTGTGAGATTTAGCACTGACACTGCCCCCAATTTCAGAGGCAGCCTGAGGAATCCAGGCTTCACATTTGTCTGGCTCCAGTGGTTGGTTGTGCTGTGACTCAGCCAGAGCCAGTGAGGTAAGAGGAGGCCTTTACTGGGGCCCGTGGGAGAATGGACTGGTGCCCTCTTCTGCTGCACTGAGAGTATAAAGATGTACAGGCTGTCGCTGCTGGGGCCACCTTGCCTCTGTGGGAGGAGCAGCCTGTCTGAGAATGGAGCCAACAAAGAGGAAGAGAGCTGAGAGATGGAGAGAGAGAAACTGGGTCCTCAACACACTCGCGTTCCTGAATCAAGCTGTACCCAAAGTCAGACCTGCTTTGGACTTTTCAGTTCCACAAACTAGTAACTTCCCTGTTTCTTACCCATTGTGCAGGGCTACAAGTTCCTGCCACCTTACTGCTAGGGGAACTTGGGCAGTAGCTAATATTTATTGAGCCCTTGCTATGTGCTGGCCTCTGTCCTAAGGGCTTCAGATTCATTTAGTTATCACCACAGCTCTGTGAGGACTGTACTATGACCATTTCCATGTTAAAGTGGAGTATAAAAATGCCGAGAGAGCTTAAGGGCATTGCCAACAGTTAAACAGCTGCAAGAAAAAGTGTAAAAAATGTCGATAGTGTCAGATCTAAGAGACAATCTCTTAAGTCAGTGAGGGCTTTATATAAACCAAATTAGAGACTCTAACATGCTGAGAAGAAGGTGCATGGGAGGAAATTTGGCAGTGCCTACTTTCGGCTCCAGCTAGACGGAAGAAGCTGAGGGGTCCCTTTTTGGCGGGGACAGACATGTGTACGGAGGGGCTTTTCTACCTAATTCTATGGGGGCACCTGATGTGGAGCAGGTGATGACTAAAACAGATGGCCAGCCTTCAGTCCTTTTCTAAGCAGCCACTGTTTCCTCATCTGACTTTATATTGTCCATCCTGGAGGACAAATTTACCACGTGCCAGCCACTCCTGCAGTCATGAGATCCTCCTTCTCAGCCCATTCCTCTTCCTCTACCCTCGGGCCACTTCATGACTTGAGGCCTTATTTAAGAACCTGCAGATGCCTGTGATTCTTATTTGATGCATCTTGCAAAGTGTTTGGATTTGAGTCTGACAACCCACGGAGGCAGGAAGACTTATGGATAGAATGGACCCAGGTATAGGGATTCCAGAGATAGGAATCCTGAGCTAGATACTTCCACAGTTCCTAACTGTTTCCTGTCAAATCCCAGAGCATCTTCCTAAGGGCTACTGAGTCAGACTCCAGGGGAGGCCATCTTAGTGCTCTTCCTACTCTAGTTCCCTTGGTCCCAAGAAGAGATGTTTTTACATCACCAAAGTATATAGACAGCATGCGAGCACGTCTGCAGGACCAGTCAACTGCCTGCATAGTCTGGAAGTCAGGCCCACCACGCCATAGATAATGATCTGACCACATGCTGGAAGGCTGGCTTCACAGAGGCACTAGTTCCTTTTTTATTGTGGGTCATATAGCTCGGTGCATGGCCTGTCTCAGACGACTGCTCACCACCAGACCTGGGTGCTCTTGCCTCATCCCAGAAATCAGTGCCCTTGTTTCGGGGCTTCCAGTTTTATTTCTTCATGTCCCAAACACATAATCTCCTAGTTACCCCAGTGGAATGTCTCCCCCTGCTGTTTGGACGGGACTGCTTTTTCCATATTTTGCTATTATGAACTAACTTGTTTCATCTAAAAGGATTCATAATCCTAGAACATTTCCTAGATGATGAAACTACGGCTGTAAGAGACTAAGTTACTTGCTTGAGGTCACGTGTCCAGGAAGGGGGCAGAGCCAGGATCAGATCTCGGATCTCTCAACTTCTAACATATATCTTCCCAACAGCAAAAAAAAAAAAAAAAAAAACCTAACAAGTAGATAATGTTTGTATGCTACTTTAAAGTTTGCAAAGAACATTGTACACATTTATTGGCTCCTCACAGAAATCTTGTGAGATGATTACCATTATTACTACCCCCTTTTTAGGATGAAGAAACCAAAGTTCAAGAGGTCTAGAGTAGAAAATTGGCAGGTTTTGTATGCAAATCCTCTGAAATAATTCTTAGGTTTTAAGAACTAAACTCTGGGGAGGTGCCTGTGGCTCAGTAGGTAGGGTGCCGGCCCCATCTGAAGGTGGCAGGTTCAAATCCCCAGCCCCCGCCAAACTGCAACAAAAAATAGTCAGGTGTTGTGGCAGGCACTTGTAGTCCCAGCTATTCGGGAGGCTGAGTCGAGAGAATTGCCTAAGCCCAGGAGTTGGAGTTGCTGTGAGCTGTGATGCCACAGCACTCTACCCAGGGCGACAGCTTAAGGCTCCTTCTCAAAAAAAATAAAAAAGAAGGTGGTGTGTGTGGCTCAAAGAGGTAGGGCGCCGGCCCCATATATCGGAGGTGGCAGGTTCAAACCCAGTCCTGGCCAAAAACTGCCAAAAAATAAAAAATAAAAAATAAAAATAAAGCTGTAGGTAGGGAGGCACCTGTGGCTCAGTGAGTAGGGCACTGGCTCCATATACCGAGGGTGGCGGGTTCGAACCTGGCCTGGCCAAACTGCAACAACAACAACAAAAAAAATAGCTGGGCGTTGTGGTGGGCGCCTGTAGTCCCAGCTACTCAGGAGGCTGAGGCAAGAGAATTGCCTAAGCCCAAGAGTTGGAGGTTGCTGTGACCTGTGACACCATGGTACTCTACCGAGGGCAATAAAGTGAAGCACTGTCTCTATCAAAAAAAAAAAAAAAAGAAAAGAAAAAAAAAACCTAAACTCTGGGAGTGAGGTGGCTCACGCCTATAATCCTACACTCTGGGAGGCCAAGGTGGTGGATCGCTTGAGCTCACAGAGTTCAAGACCAGCCTGAGCAAGAGTGAGACCCTGTCTCTAAAAAAATAGCCAGGTTGTGGCAGGCGCCTGTAGTCCCAGCTACCTGGGAGGCTGAGGCAAGTGAATTGCTTGAGCCCAGGAGTTTGAGGTTGCGTGAGCTGTGATGCCACCATACTCTACAGAGGACGACAAAGTGAGATGCTGTCTCAAAAAAAAAAAAAAAAAAAAGAGAAACATGGTTTGTTAATTTTTGTTTTGTTTTTTTTTATGAGTCAGAGTCTCAAGCTGTTGCCTGGGATAAGCGTGCTGTGCTGTCACGGCTCACAGCAACCTCCAACTCTTGGGCTCAAGCGATTCTCTTGCCTCAGTTTTTCTACTTTTAATAGAGACAGGGTCTTGCTCTTGCTCAGGCTGGTCTCAGAGCTCAACCAATCCACCCTCCTTGACCTCCCAGAGGGCTAGGATTATAGGCGTGAGCCACTGCACATGGCCCATGCTTTTTTTTTTTTTTT